CAGGAGCAGTGCTCATCAACGGCCATTGCACGCGAAGCGCATCCAGTGCCGGCAGCATGCGCAGCATACGTGACAGATGATGCGTTGGGTCCGGTGATGACAGCAAGGTCAAGATTATCAGCGGCCTGGTGCGCGCGGGCGCCTGCATCCCGATCCAGGTCGTGCTCTCGCCAGCTGCAGTTGCTGCTTCAGAATCAAGTGCGCATCTGGAGTTAGCACTGCAAGATCTGCATGTCTTCCAACATGGCAGGGTGCTGCTGTCTTGATTCCCTCATTGTCTCAGATCGTGGTCCCCTTCTTTCTGCATCGCCGGTGTGCAGGGCACATAACCGACACCAGAAATCCCACAAGTTTCCTCACAACGGTGGGGACTCATGCGTTGCGCAGGCGGCAAGATTGATGGCCACTCTGGTCCCAGTCCTAGTCCTCGATGTATTTCTGCGCAGATTTACCGTCGTGCCTCCCGCAGGCCTTCGTCTGGCAAACCTCACGGCTGCGTAGCATTCACCGCACTCCGGCTCCGCTTCAAGACCCATGGCATGAAGTGCACGAGCCGGCCTCAGGCCACCAGCACTTCGGTGCGTACGGGCAAGGGCATGATACTCCGTTGCTTGTTCCGGAGCGTCCTTGTGCTCAGCCAAAACCAAACATTGGAAAGTGGTAGCCGAGCTCCTTCCTGAAAGGAACACATCACAGAACATTCTGGACGCGGCCCTCCTGTGACAACATCTTGGAAATTCGTGCCTGATCTTGAGGATGCACTCGATTCCAAGATCAACATGTTTGTGCCCGAGTAGGCATCACAAAGCGGAGCGTCTTTGTGCAATCTTGGGGGGTTGAATTGCAAGTCTTCGGAGTGGGAAGCCCGTGATCTGGATGGCTTTGCAGTGAATGTCCAGCGAAATCTTCGTGATCATAGCCGATCCCCCCGAGCTGGCGTCACCTTGATCATCATCTGCTTACAAGGCTCATGTCCCACGCATAGGCTCAGACTTGAACACCCAAGGCCACGGACAGCCTGGATGTCACAAAGATTGCAGACTTGAGGGTACCAGTTTCAGACTTGTCAACAACCCACGGCTGGCAGTCTCGGGTAGTCGTACCCTCAGCTCGGTGGCCTGCACTTCCTGGCAGCAGGCTGGGAGAACAGTTGCAGACGTGGTCTTGGCTAGGCACGTTTGAAGAGTTCTCAGCGCAAAACGGCCGCAAAGTCGAGCGAGATTACTGAGAGGGGGCAAGAACTAAGAACGACATGCAGCAGTTATCTCTGGACGCTGCCAAGGTCCGGTGAATTTCGGAACTTGCTGATGTTCTGGTCACGCCGTCTCAGACCAATCTTTAAGATCGTTCCAGTCCCGCACGTCTCGGTGGGGAAGCCGCGGCGCATGGAACCGACAACGCTCAGTCGGTGCAACTTTGTTGAAGCATCGTTTCCGAGCTTGTGGATTTTATGGTGCACACGTGGCACGCATGTTACGGGCTCACTGCGAGAGAAGCTTTGAGGTACCAGTAAGGGTGCGACTTTCTGTCTTTGAGGAAATGGAGCGTGAGACCGCTCTGCAGAAACATGTGCAAGCAGAGCC